CTCTGACATTCGACAACGATTCTCTGACAAACGATTCTATAACAATCGTATCGTTCGCATTTATACCAGTATTCGCATGTTCGACGCCCCGGGTTGCGGTCCCGGACGTCCTTGAATTTCGAACCCTTGCGCCACGTACGCTCGTAGCTCGTTGTGCCTGTCGACGATCAGTTTCTTCTCCCAATCCTTTAAACCTTTGGATAGTATGTTGCCGCATTCGTACGCCGGAGTCGGGTTCTGCATCGATGGGATCGTCATTACAAGTTTTACGCTCGTCGAGCGAAAAGGGGATTAAAAGTAGCTAGTGATCACGGTGTGTGCATTTATTTCTTCTCTATCGCACGCGTCCGTTCCTTTACGCGTGGTACATAAGAGAGTACACTTCGGACGAATGCGGACGATCTTTCACGTACGCACCGTTTTCATACACGAGTCAACGGGAATCGCACCCTATTCAAACGAAAAAACGGATTCGTACTTACGGGATAAGTGCAGAGAACGTGTCTCTTGCCCTTGGCCGTGCACGCGTTCGACCGGCAGTCAAAGACGGCCCTGCTCGGATTCACCATGACCGCGGCTACTAGTGCGACCCAGAGTAACTCCATAATCGCTTTCCTACTTTCGATCGGCAAATATCAACAGGAAGCAAGGAGCGAGCGTACGATGCCTATTTATTGAACGGCTTATCAACGTGCTCTCCTCCTCTCAAAATCGTTCACGTTAGAAGGATATTTTTTATGCCTGTCGAGCCAATGGTCCACTGAGATTCGCACGTACTAACTCAGGCGGAATTGATTAATTTCAGATTTTAAACTGTGCGTTTATTTGCGTGGGAGGCGATAACGATTTGTATTTAGTCGTTTGGCGAGCAACGCCGAAATCAGTTTGATCAGTATTTTTCTTGTTTCATTGAGACACGAGGATGAGAGAGAAACGGAGAGATCAGATCAATCAATGCATGGATCTCGTTCAACTAGTTCGCATTTATTGTCGTACGATAACACGAGACAGTTTTAAGGTAATAATAACCCAAACAATTGACCTTTTCATGAAAAGGTAAAGAAATGGGCAAGTTTGAGATGCCTGGTCCCTATAATCAATGAAACAAAATAACTGTTCGCCGAATTATATATTTAACAACATGTAATTTCTTCTAAATACTTTTATGCACGAAATAGTCTTGCATACACGTTTAAAAGCATAAAATTTAGATGTCAAAGCCACCATTCCCAAAGTATAAATTTCTATAAAAGCTTCCAATTTTATTATTTACTAATACAACTTTCAATCAACAACACCTTATCAAAAATACTGTATCCCATGTATATGTATATACATTATATACTTGTAAAGTTCAGGACATGTGTTCATTCAAAATGTCGGATTTACGTGTCAATAAGGGTACGTGGTATCCCGACGGGCACGCTACCACCTGACGGCTTAAATTTGCCTTCGGGACGCTACAGTGTCCCTTGATTCCCTTGGAGATGCTTGTTTCTTAATACTATCTTAGCATTTGGTAAACCGGTTGCCCCTCCACGTTACCTCGCGGACCGAACACGCACATCATGCTAAAGTCCAGCAAGTCCGTACGATGTATGATTTTACCGCAGCCCACCCTGTACGTTTTTGCCCATATTGTTTGAATAAAGGCACTCGCTTTCGGATTGTACCTGTATCGATTTCACACCGATTATCGCCAAGCTAAATTGTTCGAGATAGAGAGAGAGAGAGAGAGAGGGACAGAGAGAGAGAGAAGAGAAATCTCTGTCGCGTTTACCTATAGTTGCACACCATGCTAGCGTTCACGTGCTCTACCTCAGAGTGTATGAATTCAATCAACTCTTTGATTAAAACGACATTGGATTTTTTGAACGAATCCGCATTGATCGCAGTTGCGACAAAAAATTGTCCCGCCTCGAACCGACCTACGATCAAAAAGCAGAGACAGAGATTCGTTCGATGCTAACGAGATCGATTCACCATTTACCAATAACATTTTTATGAGAATTACCAACGTCGACGCAATTCGGGAGATAGAACAGGCATTGATTGAGCCACCTTTGAGCGATAAAGGCCAGCTCCGCGTCCCACACCTGGAACGATCCAGCCGATCGGTTAATGCAAGGCCGCGAGACCCGGAAGATCGTTCATACCAGTATCCGCATGTTCGACGCGGCCGGTTGCGGCCCCGGATTTCCCCTTTTCTCCAGACCCATGGCCACCTTCATTCTGACTTCGTTCAGAGCAGTAACGGCCACGTCCTTCTCCTCATCCGTCATAAACGTCGAATAAACCTTCTTGCACTTTGGTCCTAGTGTCCAGTTCTGCGTTAATTTCATGAAATAACGTTTTTACTCGCACTTCATTCACGGCGTTATCGCGTCCTAGCCGGTTTCGATCACGCGACGTGCAATCAATCATTCGATACTGACCACGTACAGGCACGCAACGTTCCGGAAACCTTTAAGCGCGCATACATCGTTCTTGCAGTCAACAGTCGTGATCGGTGTTATCGAGAACGACGCGAATATTACGGCGACGTAGAGCAACTCCATAACTGCCTTCTTCCTCTCCCACGATAAATCCAAACAATAAGTAACGATCGTACGAGCTTGTACTTATTAACCATCTTATCGGCAGCCTCCCGCAAATCTCATCCTACCTCTACTCGGCCATGTCGTTCGCATAGCTCTAACGATTCTACTCTTTTCGAGATTCGTTCTGCATATAATTCGAACGTCCAATGTTACAGCCATACCGTTAATTTTAATCGCAAAATCTGTAGACCTGCACGCGCGCTACATCTATATACGTACGCCAGCGCATTGAATGTCCGCGAATTTCGTTTCGGCTTGTGGAGATTGACAATACGAACGGTTCCGGGATACGGCTTTCGGTTACAAAACTCACGTTTATTAAGTCGTTACGTTTATTTATTCATTGATCGACAGTGTAACACGGATCAGTAATCTAATTGAGAGACGTTGTCTTCCTCTTCATCGAGCTCGGCGTATAGTCTGTAGTAGTCCGATACGTCGTACACCGGCTCGCCGACTACATTTCCCGTCGGCCCGTAGAGGCACAACAGCAGATACGTCCACATTCCTTTATAGGCCGTAGATATTATCTTCCCGCAGCCGATTCTGGTCGTGTTCGACGAAACCAATTGTACGTAGTCTTTTACCGTGTCGTTCACCGCCCTGATCGCCAAAAGTGTTAGCGTTACAAATGGTCAACGTCGACTTATAGAAATATTTCGCGTGAGTTAGATCGCCATCAGATTCGAGCGATGCATGACGCAGTTAAAAATGTCGAAGTCGAGTTCGATAAGATTTTTCTACAAACTCATAAAATCCGCGGTCAATGACAAACGGAAAATGATTAGAGATACGTACGAGAGTTCGAACACCTCTGAAGAATTCATATGTACCACTTGCTCGTAAAACACATCCTTGATTATTTCGGACGGCTTGGCATCGGCTCCTTTAAAGCCCATCGTTGTTCCCACGTCAAATCTCGCTAGAATTCAACGAGAATTTTAGTTTCGATCTACCGTTCGTCGTAACTCGAAGGATGACACTCACATTCATCGGCGCAAGGGGGTCGCGAGAACGAACACTGATTCACCCATCTTTGTGCCGCCTGAGACAAATCGTAGTCCCATATCTACGAAAATATAAATTTCTGTCTAAACGAGATCCAAGTAAAATGCAAGGACGTTTCGTCGTTTCACGATCGGTCGTTATCCGCGATCCGTACCAGCGCGTTTATAGAACTCGCCGGTGGCTGCGGTCCCGGATCACCCCTCGATTCGAAACCCTGCGCCACGTACGATCTGAGCTGGTTGTGAGTGTTAACGATATCCATCTGTTCCTGCCGCGTGACTCCTGCCTCCTTCACGGTGCCACACGATGGCGACGGTTCAGGATCCTACGGTCAAACGTTCTCGACATTTTCAAACTGAACGATTCCTTTTAACGAACGGAATATCTTTTCTACCAACCCTGTATCTGCATAGGGGATGTCGTTGTTTTTTCTCCTTGCACTTGTCGTTCTCGCAATCGACTCTGGACCAAATTGGATGGACCAATGCGAGAACCGTAATCAACACAGCGACGTAGACAAAATTCATGATCACTTTTATTTTGCGAACGAGGGACGATTGGCAAATATTACGCGAGACCAACGTTTGGTGCCTATCGACTCTCGGCAGGTATATATACGGTATGTAGATGATTAGATTACTTTATCTTTCATTCACGCTTATCCGTTGGATTGTTCCACTGCCGAATAAATGGCAAATTACCGTCCATCCTCGAGGAAGGGGAAAACCGGATCACGGGACGAGATTTCCTTTCCGTCTTAATCGGATATCGCATATTTCGGCTGACTTTGCAACGCGAGAACGAGAAGACCTCCAATGATGATTATCTATAATACCGGATTATTTATAATTATCTAAATTTCTTTTTTCTTAAAATTTCGAAAAATGCTTCAAATAAAAGTTGTCTTTCTTCTAACTTCGATATTTAACNTGAATTGATTTAAAATTTTGCAGGTAGCTTTTTAATAGTAATAGGAAACTATAATAACAAATTCAACATGCTAGCATTGTTAAGTATATAGCCTATACATCTTTAACAAATGCTTTGTACTTTGTCCTCCATTCTTTATGAAGTACCTTGTATTTTTGTTTTTTTCTTTTTTTGTTATCGGAGCTATACAACCAATAGCATATAGTATGTTTCGCCCCTACTGCTTGTTGTATATGCCGCGTATATTAAAGGGTTCTCTAACCCGTAAATAAATAACTAAATAAATAAATACGAAAGGTGGAAAAGATCGAAGAGAACTCGACGAATGATCGCGTTTCTCGAGAGTTCATAAAAGCATCTTTCTCCTTGTGCGGTCGACTGCTCTTACAAAGATTTTGGCCAATAAATTAGACGTGCCGGTGGATCGACTCGAGGTAGCAAATGTCACGATGTATGAAAAACAGCGTGACACGGACAGTCGTGGTAACGGACATCTTTTCCAGCGGGAATCGACGGTAAAGAAAAGCCTGCGGTCGCCGATGAACGAAGCGGCGAACAACCGAGACACACGTGACATACGTGCGACGAATCTCTTCTCGGCAAACGAGAAAAGATCTCTTCGAGGGAGAAGAATTATTCGAGACGCTGATCGAACTAGAGATACGATCTCTATCCGAGTTTAAAAGCGCATTAAGAATTATTATTTCCCCAGCTGTGACGTTTTCTGTGTTCGACTCATTGTCATTTAAACACTCAAGATAAATAGCGATAAAACTGGCTCGTGCAGATCTGCGATCGAGATGCTCGATACGATCTAATGTATCGCATATCAATATCATATAAAAGCGATGACGCGACAGCTTAACGAACCGTTATTGGAATCGATTTTACGACTGATGATACCACCTCGCCGGTATGGCAACGGTTACCGTCGATTCCTCGAACGCGAGCGACGAACATCGACGCGCAATTTAATTTATCTCGGCATTCAATGATTCACATTCAGAGGTTTCCGTCTCTGTCTCGGTCCCTTTCAACTTCGAGATTCCCGAGCGTTGATCGTCGCCTTTGAGAAATAAATAAATTCGGCCTAGCGAGAAAGGCTCGCGAGGCAGGTAGCCGGAAACGATCGATCGCGATCTCGCATCTCGCCGAGGGTGGTCGGTCGGTCGGTGTCTGTTTCGTTTCTGAATCGCAACCGAGAGTCATCGAACGTAATATCATCATTATACCGCGCCGTCCCACAGATGCGTCGCCGCGGGGACACGGGTTTTGTGTTGCGGTTACCAACACCCGTTCTACCAAGGGCGGAAAAGAAACGACCGATGGACCCCCGCGGGTTCGGATCCTCTACTTTGCTACTTCTGTCGACAACCACCGTGATCTGTTTCCCGCACAGACTTCCCCCCTTCGATCCCTACCGTCCCTGCCGGGGCCATTACCTGTGACGTACGCGAGGTGAACGAGGATGCGGGACAAATTGGGGTGTCTCTTCACCAACGAATTTTACTGGGCTCACGCGAAATTCGTCCACCGAACAAGGACAGTGTTACAAAGAACGTTTCAGGTTCTTATCGCTAATCGATCATGTTTGCGTCGTCTATAAGTAAATTCGTACAATCATCGAAAACAGAGCGTAATGAGACGCGATATGAGATCACGCACTAATCTATTCTACGAAATTCGTTCGGTTGACAATCAAAGGCTTCCAACATAAAAATTGAGGTCACTTATCTAATTTGCGATACTAAAAGCGTCTATATTTATCGTATGCGCCAATTTGTTTTCGATATTATCAATCACGGTTGCGATAACTGAACATGAGAAGAAACTGAATGAAAATGTAATTTTGAGAAAAGGTCGTTGTGTCGTCACGATCGTAATCGTAACGGAGCTGTATTCGCTACGTTAGGAGTCACGATTATACCACTGTCTTTCGTTTGACAGTTTCCAAATTCACGATTGTTCACGATCCTCGATCATCGTCGCCGTCGTCGCCCGCGATCAAGAATTTCGCAACGCGCGGTAGCCTGTATCATGCTCGAACCACTGATCGTACTAACAGTATTAAATTGCTTTTTCATGTTCAGTTCGACGGTGACGACGTGCGCGTTATGGTAATCGTAATTTAATCAACAGTCGTTTACACGGTTAATCGAACTTGGGATCGACTTACACAGGTGGCAATACAGGAGTCACCGTTGCTGCTTCAGAAGAGACTCGACGCAGCACAGCGTCAAGCGTAATTCTTCGAGACCGAAGAGCAACAATAACGACAATAACAATAATGATAATAACGACTCTTTGACCACGAAGAGGTCGGGAAATTCGAAGCATGATCGCGTGAGCGATCGTAGTAAATCGAATTCTACCGTGAACCGCGAGAACGATGGGCACAGGTGCAGAAGGAACTCGAGGCAGAAGGCGAAAACAGCCAAGTATCTCGTACACAGCAAGACGCCTAGCGACGAACCACTCTCCTCCTTGTAAACGGCTCACGAATCGTACATAGATCTTTGTCTCTCTTTCTAACGTTACGTTTTACAGAGAGATCGTGGAGAGTTGGGAGCTGGAGGACGGAGCGAGGATGTCGGAGGCGTCGCAGACAGGGACCGAGACGAAACCGGCAGTGGTAATGGAGTACTCAACCGTGCAGAAGATCGTCCAGATCCTGGACGACGACACGGATCTGACCGCCACCAAGATGGTCATCAAGGACCTCGCAGCCAGGCAGAACGTCGAAGAGAAGAAGGAATACGTGATCGTGCGCGATGATCCACCTCTGTTCGAGCCTCGATCTGAAATCGCGCCGTTGACTCAGGTCCAGTTTGCAGATTGAAATTCGTCAAGTCTACCCTTTGTACCTGTACTTCGATCGATCTCTATCACCGGCGTCTCGCGTGTACACGTAAAATAAATTTCGAATGGAACAAACTGTATTGTATTTGCAATTGAAAACAAGAGGGAACTACAACGTTGTTACAATAAAAATTTTCTAATTCCACAACGAGATTTTCATTGTCTACGAGACTCTCTTCGGTTCATCTCGATCCGGACGATCCTTTCGATCCCTCCGTCGACGATTCTCTTTTTCTCGTTATTCGGTATTTACAATTCTCGGGTTTCTCGTTGGGGAGACCTGACCCGCGAGTTCTATGGTACACGAGAGCTTCGGTGGAGCTCAGACAGCATTGAACGATGCGCGAAATTTTCTTTTTCTCCTCCTTCGGTTTTCGCCGATCGCCACACTCGCTCGAGTCGACATCCCTCACGTTGACCAGGTGCGGAAAACTGTAAAACGATCGCTCTCTCAAGTCGGAAGCACTATTGGCACCGAGGTAAACGCCGCGTTACCATGTGGAGAACAGAATGCACCAAATGCAACTTATGCAAGCGCTATTGCATACGGTGAGGCAATCGAACATTTCGTAAACGGTTCCCTGCGATGGCGTCGACCTATCGTCCAAACGTACCCTACATTATCGTTCAATCGTTTAAATTTAAGGATTCGCTGCGTCCTGCGCCGTTCGCGGAACGCTGCAAACTTCCGCCGGCGAACGTATCGATTCGATCTCGAATTCGTGCGAGTGACCACGAGTGACTTTGGCTCGCACGATCGTTCAATCGAAATCGTTCTGCGATCCTTTATACTCATATATCACGTTTCTGTTTCCTTTCGTTGTTTTTCGTGGCACGAAATCCACTCCCTGTCGTGGCTGTTTACCTGATGGAATCGACGAGTCCTCTTCGAAGGCAAACAGAGAGAAAAGATATACAGCAGTTCTTCTACGTTCTACGTGATTATGTGAATTACGCCGTTCCGTCACGTTTTTTCGTCAGCGATAGTGGGGAAGACACGCGTTTGGTACCAGAGGACCAGGCCGAGGAATCCGCCTGCTTCGTCCAGGAACTGCAGTTTTACCTCGACTCCCACGCGTTGCACACGTGAGATATCTTAGTCGAATCTCCGATCGATCGTTCGTCCCCATTCTGTTCCAACGATCAACGATTCGTCTCGTGAGATCTTGAGCTCTATCTCAAAACCGGTAAGTAATTTATTTACCACTCTGTTGACTACCTCGTCATCGACGAACTCGTCGAACGAGATGGATCGTTTCAGAAGTTATTAAGTACGAAGCAGTAGGAAATGTGGGAATATTACTAGCGAATTCGTAAAGGGAACGATAGAGAATGCGGAACGTATTCGGGTTTGTCGATCGAAGACGTTCGAATCGTTTCATTTTTCTGCACTTTCTCCAACCGATTCACGGCTATCTAATCAATTTCGATCACGTTCGACCGATCTTCGGCGGCACGATGGCTCGTCGTTTCGTGGTAACGAGCTTTCTCCCAATCGTACTCAAGAAAAACAACTGCGTCCAGGATTCGGCGATTCAATGACGCAACGCACGGTCTAATTCCGATTTTCAATCACGTACAACGAATTTTCTTTACCGTTTCTAGCTGCGAAGACGAGAGGGAAGAGCGTTGTTTGAATATTTTTAACAATGGTCTACGAGGGGGTCTCGACCGCCCAACCTTCGAGGTTCGACAGTTCGCGCAAAGAACGAGGTCGGAAGCGCGGATAGTTTACCGTTACAAATTACCGCGTACGTAGACATGACGAAATGTTTGTAGGCCTTGTTCGTCGTTCGGTTTTCCTTTCACGCGTTCAGGTTGATCAAACGCGAGGTACCGTCGTCGCCGAAAAACCCGCGGACATCGAAACGGTTAAGAGTTTCCCATGATCGTCATAATCGTAGGAATTTCGTACTTTGCTCGTACAAATAAGTTTACCCAGTGCGACTAGTGTCAATATCGATCGTTAACATTGTTCCTCCGATAAGTCGCTTCCGGCACGCGAAACCCACTTGCAAAGATCTTATAGATAGCAATAATTCCAAGAAAATACTTGTATCATCGCAAGGATATCGATACGCGTAACAACAGTGATTAATTTATTGAACAGAATCGTAGAATGACGTTGCTGCCACCGACGCCGGAACAACAGAAACGGATAGACGCGGAGCTGGCACCGGATCCCGAAACGAGGAAGCGAGACGTCGCGGCTTTAAGGGAGTGGCTGGCGAAGCAACCTCATCTGCCTGATCATATTGGTCTGTTTCAATTCGTGTCGAATACGAGTATGGCGATCGAGACGACTCACTTGGATTTTAAATCGAATTCCACGATCCAAGTCGCACGGTGTCTCTGTTATTGAACGTATACAGTAGTGTTCAGGTTCGGGACGAAGTCGCGAATTCCTGAATAGATAAATTTCCAATTAGACGGCTGCATGATTACAGATGACGCACGGCTCGAGAGATTTCTGTTTGGTTGCAAGAACAGCATCGAGCGATGCAAATCAATTCTGGAGCGATACTTCACCGTTCGCACCGCGATTCCGGAATTCTTCGCTCTGCGAGATCCTTTCGCGCGGGAGGTCCAAGAATGCTACCAAGCGACGTACGCATCGTTTTCTGATTCGATCTTTCTTCGCGTCAAGAGATTCTCCGAGACTCAATTGTTCTCTTCGATTCATTAGTCATTATTTCGTTCTGCCGTCGTTAACGGAGGAGGGACACCGCGTGAGCGTGTTGCGGTTGAGAGACGCGGCGATAGACAAGTTCTCCATTCAAGCCATCTCTAGAAAGATTCTCATGGTCCTGGATACTCGTCTAATGGAAGAACGCTGCTTGTCCAACGTGATGGTGATCGATCTCGAGGTAATCGCGAGACGATCTTCCGCACATTCTATATAGTATATCGTACAACTTTTCAAAAGTACAAAGATTCTACTATACGTTCACAGACTTTGTAATATAATCATTCCTTACTGCCCCCTCACTTCGCTTGACTGATCTCTACTTCAACTCTTCTACTTTTTCATGTTTCTTGTTATTATTAATATTACTTTGATGTTTTTTCTTATTCTTTCTGTTATTACTATTATTATTATTACTTCGATGTTTTATCCAATTATTCTTATCTATCTTATTACTATTCCGATGTCTTATTTTATTTTTGTTATTCTGATGCACAGAACTGTATTAATTACTATTATCTATGTAGCAAAAAGGGTTCTACTCGTTAATAAAATTAAAGTTAATATCTAGAAAATAAATTCGGCGACTACTTTCATGTGCGACGTTCGTTTGAAATTGATCAGGGATTCAGCGTGGGTCACTTTACGAAATGCAGCCCGACGCAGAACATCGTTCGCAAATCGATGCTGGCGGTGCAAGACGGTATGCCTTTCCGTCTTCACAAAGTACACTTTCTCCACGCCCCTGCGTTCATAGAAAGCATCCTGAAGATAATCTATCCTCTGCTGAAGGATCGGCTCGTGGAGAAGGTCAGTTCCGTTCGTCGTTGATAACCATTTCTTTTACAACCGCATCAATTTATCGTTTGACGTTCATTCATTTTAAAGTTTCGTGTTCACACCGGCGGCGGTGAAGAGCTGCACGCTTACATGGACAAAAATATCTTGCCGAACGAATGGGGTGGCAAGGCAGGCTCGTTCGATGAATTAAACGGTTCGTCGATCACAATTTAAGATGCTAATTCGAGCTCGTGTAAATTTCTGATTCTGTTCGTCGACTCACGGTCGCAGTGCGTTAAACGCTACGTCGTCCTTTTCAGACGCATGGCAGAAGAAGATCGAGAGGAACAAGGATTGGTTCCTGCGCGAGGAGAAACTCAGTCGGACCAACGAAAGCGCCAGACTTCCAAACGCTAGGTCTAAGCTGTTGACGGAACTGGACGGACTGCAGGGTTCTTTCAGGCAATTGAACATCGATTAGAATTAATTCGCAAGGTGGACACGAATCTCCGTCCCGACGGATGTTTTCTCAAGATCTCGCGCAGCGGGTTAAATACAAAAGTGGTCTATTTTTTACAGCTCTGACTCATACGCCCGTTACCATTTCCACGTCAATTGCGACGCTATCGGTTCTCTCATTCAAATCGCTTTTACCAATGTTTCGAATCTGATCAACGATCTGATCGCAGCCCCGATTAATAATAAACGGAAGAAGATTTTAAGATTTTTACACTTTTATTTCGTGCGGGTGATCCGTCGCCGAACCAGGCGGTAGGAATCGTTTTGATCCGATGCGAAAACGACAACGGAAGACGCGAACGTGCAGCGAGTCATCAGGCTGTGACACGCACACGATCCAAGTTCTGGCGTCGTACTTGCCGCTCGACAATCGCCCGACCACCTCCAGGCACTTAAGAACTTAAGACTAACGACTCGTTCGGCGTTCGTGACTTCTTTCGTTTAACAGAGTCGAACGAGTCAGAGTCGATGCATGGCCCAAGCATGGCCGAGCTCGGTCCCTATGACCGACGCAGATCTAGAAATTCGTTTCGATCGCGATTACAACCGGTTATTCGCGCGTAGATAAGCTGCGGTAACGCCGAACAGTCACGGTTTTATTAGATTCGCGTATGTACATGCACGTACATCCAACGGTACTACGAAACGGTCGTTGTCAATTCATGCGAAGGTGCAACGCAGTTCAGGAGCAACGTGCGAGATCTGTCGCGGGACCGAATCAAGAGGCGAAGGAACGAAAGGTACACGACAGTCCCAAAGATCTGGATGAACTTTATGCGAAGTCATTGTAAATTTGTGTCTTATCAATCGTAAAATTATTCTTCGGACAGAGAGATGAAAACAATCGAACGCTTCGGGGAGCATCGATCATCGGACGACTGATGCCGCGATTCCGTATCATCGGTCGTGCTGACGTTCCACGTCATCGTTTCAATTGAATTAGGTACTATACATGTGCACGCAAGATGCGTCGCTCTGCGATTTGGATCGAACTATTCCGAGCTTCGAGAGACCAGATATAAGTTCAGAGACGAAGATATAGGTACGCATAATTTGTGAGTCGCGATATGGAATTTATCGGTTCTGTATAAAAAAAACGAACTGCGCTGTTGGTCTTCGAGCTATTACATAAGCATTATTTCAATTGCACGGATGTACGCGTCTTTAACGAACTGACACAGACGATTGATCGATCGATCAATCAGTATTCAGTCGCGAATCGCGCGATCGAATTAAACCGCTAAATTAAACGGAAATGCGTCGTCCAGATTCCACTTGTCTCAGTTCGTTCCTGATTTCGAATCGAACACGACGATCTTTTGCCTTTGACGTCATTGACAGACTTTTAAACGAATCTGTAATACAAACGAAAATTGCAAGACCGACTGAAAATTTGTCTCTTCCAAAGATCTGACTCTGAGCTGCGTCGCGTTGCGTAACAACTGGGTCGTCCACTTCTTTCTCTCCGTTATCCGGTTCAAACGACTGTTGCCAATCTTACACCCCCTCATCTTCCTCCCTCCGGTTCCGTGTGTCGCCCTGCGTCGCTGAGAGGCAACTCGGTCCCGAAATCCTTCCATACCTTCGAAACGTATCGTTCGCTCGTTTCTAAGAACGGATCGGAGTCCTCGGATTCCGGGGCGAAAATTTTCGGAATGATCGGCCGATCATTGGAATTCTAAAACGGTAAATTGGCGCAAGGTCGATCGATCGGACGAACTACAATTAATTCGGGGTAATTCAATGACGGTGACCGTGGCGGCCAACGAGAGATATACTCCAGCGTCCCTGTCCTGCCGCACTGTACAGGGTGGATCGATTTTTCGTCCCCTGACGTCACCGGCGAGGCTGGCATGCGCGTCGACCGGTCCCTCCCTCTCCCTCTTTCACTCTTTCTCTCTACCCTCCCTACCGTTTTCAACAATTGTTCGGTCTAACTTTGCCGGCAGATACCTGTCCCTTCGTCGAAGTCGTACGATCACGATCGCGGAACCTCGTATCGGATCCGCGAATCGAAATCGCAACATTGGCAACGATCGGCAAAACGAGAACGCGAGACGAAAAACTGATGAAAATCACGAAGGTAGCGAGTAACGATCTCGAAGAAGGAACACGATGAACGAAAGTAGAAAAGTTCGAGATATCTCGGACGTTACCGAGGTGCACAAGGGGTTGTCAGACCGGGACCGCCGGGAAGGAGGTGGGACGACGAGTCGGGGTCAGAGACGAGTTCATTGAGTGTCGCGCGGTTGGGTCGGTCGGTGCTCGATTCTTCTCGTCGAAACCTCCGCTTTACCCCTCCTTCCTTTCCAACGTGATTCGCCGCGCTCGACGAGGCAAGGGTCGAGTCCGTCGTCGACGATCGAGCGAACCCCCCCAACGAGCGCACGTGCTCGACTCCGTCGCACCCTGGCACAGTTTCTGTATTCTCGTCGAACGAATTCTATTCGCGTACGGTTCCCCTCTCGACCGGTTCCACGGTAGTTCTCCATTGCCAATCTACGTTCCTTCTATTCGTTCGCGTTCGTCTTCGCATTCGTCTGGCTTCGTGGTCGACCCTTCGGCCAGGGGGTGGACGAACGTTTACACGGAAACGCGTGGACGCGACGATTCGATACCGGACGTGGCACTGATCCGCGAAAGAAACGATCGACGTGAAATAAACAGGCTCGGTTGGTCACTCCAGCGACGGTTAAAGGGTTGCACGCAGACACGGCTCGTTTAACCCCCAAACTGATATTACCGCCGACCGGCGGTGGCGACGGTGGTGGCGGCGGCGGCGACGGCAGCGATTCGATCCTGCTCGCAACAGTAGAATTTCACGATACCAGTCCGAAACGTCTGAAGTGCCAGAGCCAGAGTGTCCGACGGAGGATTCGCTGGTTTATTCTCTACTTCCCGATCGTAGCGTACGGAACGCGACGACGACGGTCCGTCGAAGCGACAAAGCTCGATCTAAGTCCATGAGGGTTGTCCACGTCCGCCACGCTCCGTTCGTCTCCCCACTTCTTCGATTCTCGCCAGGACGTCAGCTGGAACTTGCGTGGTGCGTCCTGGGTGTGCAGCACGGCACGCTGCAACTTCTAGTCCATTGTCACGACCCGAAAGACGATAGATAGGGACGAGAGGAGAACGAGGAAAAGCTATAACGCTGTATATACGGTGAAACCCGGACTGCTTCGTGATCCGTTCTCGATCGTGTCGTCGCGAGAGCTTCGAATCTCCGTTTGTGTCGGGTTCGCCTCGTGAACGTCGCGCGAGCACGAGGAGTTCGTGGACTCGTCTTCCTTCGATCGCAGATCCTCCCGCCGCTCGATCATCGTGCACCGCGACGATCCATGTGTGAACGAACGTGATCTCGAGCGTTCATGGGACTCGGCTCGCTCCGCGTAGCTCGTATGCTCGCGTAGTCGACCCGACTCGTTGAATCCGTTCCCAGTTGCTCGCGCTGTTCGCGTCCTCCCGAGAAACCGACCGCCACGAACGCTCTCGGCGATCGGGAGATCGTCGATGAAACGTCGTCGGTGCACCGCCGTCTTCCCCGCTCGTAGATCGACGAACGGACGGTGAACGCCAGACCGTGCCACGAAAATTGTCAAGGGAACACTGCCTGTCCGAGGAATATCGTACGTCGCATCGTCGTCGCAGGAATCTGCTCCCTTGGTTCTCTCGGTCGGTGAGTAGCAGCAGCAGCAGACCGTTTCGACTGAAACGTCGCGTCGTCGCGATGACGCAGAACCGACGATGGTTTCCTGTCGCTTACCGAGTGCGGAGACGCGTTCGAAACGACGAAACGGGACCGCCACTGATCGTTAACTGCTGGTCGTTCGCGAGAACTCGCCGAGGATCACCTACGAGTGCTCCGTGAAACAGAGGAAACCCGGTGTCCTCACGAAAACGTCATATCGTGTCAACTATTCGTGACGGTCGACCCTGCTCTCGCTCTCTGTCTCTCTCTCTCTCTCTTTCTCTCCTTTGCTGATTCCGTCTCGCTTCACGTTCGTCTCTCTCCGGCTCGTTTCTCGCTTATGTAAGAGTGCACACATTTTGCGTTTATACCGTGTGTCCCTGGCGCGTAATGTAGTCGCTCGATGCAATTGCACGTGGATTTTTCCTGATAGACCCTCCTTCGATCGTCCCGACGAATATCCATCGAATCGTGCTCTTTCAGAGTGATTCGAAGTACCGGCATCGCTACAAACGGATGGATTCTTCTTTGGATAAATCGTTTTTTACTGCCCGTGGTCCCTACAGCGAAAGATTTAATGTTCGTCCGTAGAATAAACGAGTCGTTGCTCGTTGCACGCGTGTCGATCGACTCATACGAGTGATTGAACAGGTTTCTCCGTTAACTTCTGATACGCGTATTTGGAAACGTTCGTAAGATCCGAACGCGTCTGCGGAGTCGAGAAAAATGGTGAATTCGCACAAAATGGAGAACGAGATCGCGCGATGCGTCGAAAGCGATTAGCCGTTGAAAGAGGTCGGCAATAGGAGCAGCGTTTACTCAATTAATGCGGCTCGTTGACCCCACTGTAATTCTCGGACTCTCGCATCGTCCTTCGACGAAATTGATTTACCGGGCAGGCCGAGCGACCGGGCAACCAGCCGCAGAGACGAGCGTCGCATGTCGGTGCGGCTGACCGACCGAAAACGCGTTCCTTTTTTCCGCCTTTTTCCCCGACCCCCAGACGATTTTCTTCTCCTGCAATGCGTCAGCGGATCTTCTGTACGTTCGATCCGCGTCTACGTTCTTACGATCGGTCCATCGACGACACCGAGGGGTTGCAAAGCGGCGCGCTCGAACGGCTGGTTGATTCCGACGATCGTCGACGAGCCGCAAATAAATCAGGAGAAAGCAAGTAGCCGCTGTAAGAATGTATTCGACGTCGGTGTTCCAGAGTAGTTCCTTTCTTCTTGCAATTTCACTTTCTTAGGAACTCACATAGGAGACGTCCAAGTATTCATGAAACATTGGACACCTCGACGAGTGCGAAGGGTTGAAGCGTAAATATTCGGCATTCGTCGTTTGCCTCTTCACGTCTGTCTGATTCGCTCATATCATTTTTTCCTCAAACCGTCGTCTATTCGTCGAAGCATCGAAACTTCGAACCGTTCTCGCTCCGAATCGGTCTCTGACATCTTCCGCGACTTAGTCGCGAAGTTCAAAGTCAAAACGCTGTTCTTTTCGAACGGGCCATCGGAATTAGCGCGCATCTTTTCGAAGCAAAACGACGATTGAACAGACCAACGTCGTCATGTGCGATAAATTGAGATCTGTACTTCTCGGTCGAGGACTGATCGCAGAACGGAACGAGCGGACAATGGACGTACGGTATCGGTGTGCAGCCGTTTCTAGGCCGCGATAACGATTGCGTGATATAAGTTCAAGTGCATCCTGCTGTCGTCCGTCCTCCGGATCGTTGATTGTTTCCAGTCGGTCGCGGTGTGAGTTGTGGCAATCTGTCCACACGTCGCCACGTAATCGACGAGTTTCTCGAGATCGATGAGACCTCACGGACGCGACAAAGAAAATTCCCACTTAATTGCCGATGCATAAGTAATCGCGACCGTGCCGCGCTCAAGTATCGATTGCCCCCGAGCTTTCCAACCTCGATCTTTTCCCTCCTTCTTCACCGCGATAGAAAAAATTACTCGAAGAGTCGCCCGAGGTCGAATCAGCATGCGATCGCCGCCCGAAATTGCTCCCTCCGATGAGAAATCGTCGTCCCGCCGGTTCTTCGGTTCGGACCGGAAGTCCGATCCTATTTTCGACCCCGTCGAAGGGTTTCGAAGAAATTCCGCGCGCTTCCTCGGTTCTGGTAGCCGGTCCGAAGTTTCGGTGAACGGGAGACGGATCGGTCGTCAAACGATCGATCGATCCGCGCACGCGGTGATCACAGGTGGATTCTTATTGCTAGCGGATTCATTCACCGGGGCCGAACCCGAGGACGAAGGCCGCGGTAGGCACGAGCAAGCGAATGCACAACGTATCGAGCGGAATGCGCTTCGATTTTCGCGTCGTGGTCGTGACTCAGTCCGATCGTTCTGCATACACGTGTGGACGTCGTCATTGTCACCTTGCATTGGCCATCGACGCGTCCGCTTCCGACCTCCGATTCCAATACATTTCTCCGACAACGTCCGACCGTTTCGCTACCGACAGGCACAACGTGCGAGTCGAACGATTTTGGTAAACGTAGGAACGACCGTGGGATTGAACTGAAGTTTGAGAAGACGCGAGTCTGTCGAACTCGAGACACAACCAACTTTCGAAACGATGCGCTACACACGAGACCCAATGGTCGAAATGATCTGGCTTCCTCACTGCTCGATATAAATACACGGCAGCGAGTTTCGGAGAAAATTGGTGCGAACCGGACTGGGCGAAGGTTCGAAGTTCTGTTAAAAGCGCGTGACGCGACCCGTTGGAGAGTCATCCTCCGATCCGAGGTGCTAGCGAACGGACGAGCGAACCCTCCTCTGCCCGTGGATCGGTTCAGGGTCAAGGCGACGGGCGGGGTCAAGGTCGAAGTAGCGAAGGTTCGATACTAAATATAGTGGAGGCGTTTACGGGGTCAAATCAATAGGCATCCCGCGTATACGTTAAACGGATACGTGTCCACGGTGCTCGAACGTGTCAGCGTTTCGCGCGAGCCGCGAGCTCGAAATACGCGTACGCCTACGTTCAAGCCTCACGTGCGTCCGCCGTTGTCCTCGGCTCGTCTCTGGGGTAGATCGTCCTCGAAAGTACGTAGGAGCGATCGTTCCACCGCGGCATCGGTTTCCCTTTTTGCCACGTTGCTCTTTTCGTTTCGGCCGACGAACGCCTTTGACGGGGAACGATGATCGCGAGCAGATCTACAGACAGCGAGAGTTCGGGCGCACTCGCGACACGAGCCATGAACATTATATAATTGGACCCGTCACGCGACGCGGTGATTCGGCTCGACCCTTATGCGAACACGTCACGCACTCTTCCCTCGATTCGCGACAATTTTTTCCTCTCCGATTCCCGGTAACGATCAGCTCGTTCCGAAACGTTTATGAGGACGTCGCGTGACCGAACGTTCGCGACGGCGATTTTCGGTTTCAGGGTTCGACTCCGTTGGAAGCGTGAGACCGCGGCGATCGACGCGGTGCCATTATCCAGAGGTGAGGATCGGATGTGGAGGCTGGGCCTGTTCACTGCCGGAGGAACGGTAGCAACGGAGGTATCCGCGTTTCGGAACGCTCTGGCGCGCGGGTGGCCGTATTGGATGAGCAGGGGTGACCGTCGGTGATGGACAATGAGCAGCCGCATCAGGAACTGGTCAAGTGCGTGGTCGTCGGCGACACGGCCGTTGGAAAGACCAGGCTGATCTGCGCCAGGGCCTGCAACAAGCACGTGTCGCTCTCGCAACTCCTGACGACTCACGTCCCCACCGTCTGGGCCATCGACCAGTACAGGATTTACAAGGACGTGAGTCTTCTTCCGCTCGCCGACGATCTCGTCCGTCGTTTAAAAATCGCTTTTGCCCGACAGGTGTTGGAGCGATCCTGGGAGGTAGTCGACAACGTGAACGTCTCTCTGCGTCTATGGGACACGTTCGGCGATCACGAGAAGGACCGTCGTTTCGCGTACGGCAGGTAAACGCTTCGCTCTCTCCATCCCTTTGTTCTTCCTCGACTCATTCGTTCTCGTCTTGTCTCGTCGCAGATCGGACGTCGTGCTATTATGCTTCTCGATAACCAACCCTGTTTCCCTGCGGAACTGCAAGGCGATGTGGTACCCAGAGATACGACGATTCTGTCCGCAGACTCCAGTACTGTTGGTCGGATGTAAAAACGATCTGCGTTATATGTACCGAGACGAGACTTATCTGAGTTATTTCCGTGACCGAAGTCCGTTCGTAAGGTACGTCGATGTTCCCTGACTCCACTCCTCCCTCTCTCTCTCTCTCTCTCTCTTTCCGTATTTAGAACCTACGCGCCCTATAATTGATTTCTTCGCTCGAACGTCGGAACTGCGAGTTCGAACGGAACCGTCAGTTTCCATCCAGATCCCGAATATTTCCTTCTGAAAAGGTTTCGTCCGCGACAGTCTACATAGCGGGGAGACCTTGACATATCACAGTCCCCGGGGTGTCCAAAGTTTGCCCTGACCTTTAAGAGCTCCTTCAATTCCATTTTTCTCGACGCGTACGTAAGTACGCGGTACGTCGTCAGTTTATTCATGGAAAAATATCATGAACGACTTTCAGGGCTACGAGGAAAAGCGATTTGGTGATGCCCGATCAAGCTCGCGCCGTCGCGAGGGAACTCGGCGTTTGCTATTATGAGACCAGCGTCTTGACTTATTACGGCATCAACGAGGTCTTTGAGAATTCGATACGCGCTGCCCTGATCGCGCGGCGCCAGCAACGATTCTGGATGACCAACCTGAAGAGGGTGCAGAGGCCTCTGCTTCAGGTATGCGACCGATCTCGTTCGATTCTTGGATTCCGACGAAAACGTTTCACGTTGAATGAACTCGAATCGCAGGCACCGTTCTGTCCACCGAAACCTGTCCCACCAGAAGTGTGCCTGGCGTCGAGTACATATGAGGAGAACATGAAAACGCTGTGGACGAGGATGGTTCACACGGACGTGACTCTGATCGCTGGTAACTGTACGTTCGCGGCTCACAGGTGCTTTCTGGCCGCTGCGTCGCCGGCGTTCCATCGTCTCTTCTCCATGGAACTCGTTCAAGAGCAGACGCCGCGGAGCTCCAGCGAATCCAGCATGGTATTCACGACGCGACGCTACGCGACCGTCTCTCTCGCGTCGGGAGACGATCAGATTCAAGTGTCCGTTCTCTCGTTCAAGGTGAGCACGTTCGGCGAAGCGACGGTGGGCGACTTCAACGACGACACCGAGTGCCTGATTCGTATCGATCAATCGAAACCCGCGAAGTGAGTCTGTCAGACCGTGTAGGATCTTGCGACGATACTTGATCGACTCTGTTCCAGAGTCTGGGAGCAACTCAAGCGGCGTTCGAGCTTTCAAGTACTGCCTACGGTGGACAGCCAGAGGAAGTCGGCCGGTGCGACCAGAGAACTCAATCATCCTGCCTTCCAAAACATTCGCGTATGCCTGGCAAGTATTGTGCGACGAAAGCTCGCGGGAAGATCGAGTCCGGAAGAGTCTCGTCATTCTCGGGATGATTACAGACCGAGAGCACGAATGGGATGCAACAACCGACGACCGTGGTCACGCTGTCCAAGTTGATCACACCGCAGGCGTTGCAGCAGTGCTTGCAGTTCATTTACACGGGCAGTTTGGATAAACGGTATCATGATCTACAAGTACGTTGCGTCGGTAGAACTTTTTATGCGGGCAGGTACACCCGTGGACCGTCCGAAATCTATCTTTTTCGACCGACGACGCGACCGCGACGTTACGAATTACGCGTATGCGTGTAGCCTCGGGAGGACGAGATAATTTTTGTTCGAGAGGTGTCGGAGTAGGAACGTCAGAAATTCGATTGGGCAGATTCGTCTAACGTTCGAACTCGGACGATCGCATGCGTTCTTTCTCCTTTCTTTTTTTTTTCTTTTTTTTTTTTACGGAGGAACACTGAACAGATGATCGAGGTTTGAGTTACGGTGCAACTAACGCGGCTCTGTTCTTTCAGACAGCTCCTATCGGGCTTCTACTGGTTAGTACAATGTGAAATTTCCTGACACGAACACGTACCTACACTTTTCACGAGCACGCATATCGTAGAGACATTTAGTCGACGGACATCGTCTCGCCGATTCCCCGACGGTTCTCGTCGGTTTTGTTAGGTCACCGTCATCGGGATCACGAGACGTCCTCTCATGGGAGCATGAAAACATTAGTTTCAGCCGTTTCCGATCGTAGAGCTCGAATTTCACGTTCATTCTCGGTGGCGGCGGGACGCGCGTCGGCGAATCTCAACGATTCCTCTGTTCTGGCGCAGGAAATTAGGCAGGCGGCAGAGTTCTTGGAGCTACCGCAGCTCCTGATGGTGCTCGGGAATTTGCAGAGCCAAAACCAGTTCAACAACGATCTCAACAATCGGTACAAGCACGTGGTGAGGCAACGACTGGAGGATATCTGCCTCGAACAAGGTAAAACGACGATCGCTCGATCGACTCCCGTTTTTCGTCACGGTACATGATTTCCCCGTAGGACTGTTCGCCGACGTGGTGTTCGAACTGGACGACGGAAGCGTCCCAGCTCACAAAGCGATTCTCACTGCCCGCTGCGACGTCATGAAGGCCATGTTCTCCGGCGATTTTCGCGAGAGCAGCGCAAAAGTGGTAATGATCGCGGCCGAATGTCGCGACTCCGCACGTGCTCACGTTCGTATAACGAAACGGCAATCAATTTTTGTCGACAGATAGTGTTTCCCGGCGTGCGCGAGTACACGTTCCACAAGCTGCTCTGCTACCTCTACACAGACGAGGTGCCGGCGATCTCATCCGCCAGGTGCTTGAACCTGTTGGAGCTGGCGAACCGTCTCTGTCTTCAACGCCTAGTGAATCTCGTCGAGAGCAGAGTGGTCGAGGATCTCGAGAGACTGTCTCAGAACGAAGGAAACGAGGCCGTGGAGAACTGTCTCAGGCTTCTAGAGCCGTGCAAGGTCAGCACCACTCGAACGAGCGTACAGCGCGCGATCGATATCTTCCTCTTCCTCTTCTTCTTCTTCTTCTCATCACTCGATTTCCATGTCGCGCGCAGCTGCACAATGCCGATCAGCTGGCTGACTGGTGCATGAACCACTTGTGCGTGAATTACAACAAGTTGTGCAAGATGTCTCCGCGAAGCGTGCGCCTCTTGCATCCGGAGAACCAGGAATATCTCAACGAGCACCGATGGCCTCCGGTCTGGTACGTAGGACCTCGATTCGACGCATCCTCAAAACGACACGTGCTCCTCGTGAACCATGTGTACACTCATCCTCTCTGTCTGACTTACAGGTATTTAAAAGACTACGATTACTATCAGAAGTGTCTCGCGGAACGGGACCGCGAGAACAAGCCGACGTTGAAGAGGAACCGGAATCAATCCGGTTGCCTGTGCTTCTCCGGTACCAGCAAGGCCAGAAGGGAGAGTTCGAGTAACGGCGGTAGCGGTGGCGGCAGTGGCGGCGGCGGTAGTGGAACCGCGTCGTCGGCGAACAACGATCCGCAATCCGAGCGACCGCTGTTCGATTCGATAGAATCCGGTGAACAGGTTGTATGACAAGAGCCTAGCGGCTTACGCCGCTCCATTCGCTTCGTTCTGATCCTACCCGTGCTCATGGTCTTCATATGCACCATTTTTACTATTTTGATACTGCTACAAATTTATACTTAAGAAGAAACGCGGAACGCCGAAAAACGCGATCTACTTGCACACACAAAGCGTCCAACGAGCACGGAGGACGTAAAGAGAGACCGGGAACCGGGTTCTTGTCCATTGGGAGAAACGAATCCCTCTGTTTCCCGGCACTTTTCCCCGTTTGTTTCCTCTTCTAGAAGAAGGACGTCCAATCCGAGAAGGGACGATGCGATGCGTCGTGGCTAGGGCGAGCGTACAGCGAGATCGTTGGGATCAGCCATCGCGTCGGTGTCTCGTTCCCTGTACGCGTCGCCTATGCTCGTCGCCAAAGGAAATCGATGCTTCTCGTACGATCTCGGGGACAGAAGAGAGATCATGGGGGACGTAATCGTTCATACGAAGGAGGATGACTGAGACGCGTATCTTCTGGTTTCACGGGCGTCCGTCGTTTCTGTTCGAACAAAACGAGATCGTGCCTTCCGTCGACGACTCGTCGTTGCCACTGCGTCCCTGAAACGGGCCGTCGCCGATCACCTTGGCCACGTTTCAACTTTTCTTTCCCCGCGATCGTGACGATCGCGAAGAGCACGAGCTACCCTGAGTCACTTGCCTGCAAACGCGGATACTTTCGGACTCTCGTCCACTTCGGCGACGCTGTCCCGAACGAATTCCGCAAACGTTGGAGTAGAGACGGATCGCGTGGACCGGAAGAATGTATCGGGCCAAGAGAAGAGGAATGAGAAATACCGAACTACTGTTCAACCGTTCGAGTTCGCTTCGCGATCAATTTTGAAGACGCATCGAAACCGAAGTGCATTTTCTACGGAGTCATCGCGCGTCTATGTGTTTTAAGGATGTCCCAATGGATATTTATACTTTGATAATTGTATCGCGTGTAATTGTACCAGTTCCTCCTGTCCGAAATTTCATTTGACTCTTCGAAAGAGAGAGAGAGAGAGGATGTGGGACGAAGATTCGATTCGGGACGATACACCGAACCGAACGGAGACCGACGAATCTCAAATGAAAACGGTAAGCGATGACGAACGATCGCCGTACTTTTATCGACGCGTGTCAGACTGAAAGAAAACCGAGCAATAGTTAATAGTCTAGTAGCGCGTAACGACGACCGAAAAGGGAACGCGGTACACGCAGATCTGTAATGCGTAAGACTGGATCCGTACTGTCCGTATCGACTCCGATACGAATCCAGTGCGGATCCTGCATAAAGGATAAGTATAATAATAATAAGTAACTATTAACATAAATCGCCGCGAATTTTTACATCGTTTGTACAGCATCGGACGCGACGACGGGCTGCTGCGAAATACATTTCGTCCGTCGAGTCGTCGACACGGCCGGCTGGATATGACGAGATCATAACGACGGTTCCTTCGGCCGCGGGGGGATCTATCGTATTTGTACTATTTTTTAACAAGCCGTCGCGGCGGGGCTAATCGTAAGTAAGAATTATGCTGTTCGCCTGATCGTGAATCGCCATTAAAACAATGGGGACACGGACACGTGCAGTTCGATCGACGCAACGTCCAATAAATAACTGCAACATATCGATCACGGTAATGGGTCACTGGTAGGACTTATCAATTCGCGATTACATCGAATCGAAGAATAGGGTAATCGAACAGCCGAAAGAAATCGAGCGCAGCGTATCAATCGCGTTGACGACTGTGCGACACAATTTTATTATCGATATTAATGAAGAGCGCGTACGTGGGGCTTGACGTTCGACACGGTCATCGTCGGGTCGTCTATTGTACGTGTGTGTAAGAACGAATACGAATCCTCACGCATGTTCCATGTACGTTCCACTTGCCGACTTGTACTTCGCGAGGCACAAACGTCGATCCTCGTGCGTCGAACAACCGTGATCGGGCATGAAACGACCCCTTGTTTCGAACACGATCAAAACTACCTGGCCGCAGGTATTCAATGATTATTCGTTAGATCGTCCTTTACCGTGATCATCGATATCGTGCATCGTCATCGTTGCGCAATGAAAGTATGTTCGGACGCGTTCTGGTCGCGACCGAATGAATGGGATCGAAGAAAACGAATGAACGAGAAACACGCGGAGAACCTGAGCGTACTTGGAATCATTCTACCGACCATGTGACCGTAGATCTCGTACGCAGAGATTATTCTTATCTCCGAACCTGGAAAGGAACACGTTTCCTGTGTTCGAATCAAAATCGAATCGACACTAAACGAAAGGAACGAAGACGTTTGAAAGATACATTACTGCCTGAGGTCGAAGAAACGAACCGACGCGCGAGGAGACGATCGAAACGCGAGATGAGTATGCCTGTTTCGACGAGGGTGAGAATAACGTCCCACTTGTACGCTACGTCAATTTTAATGTCAATGTTGATCCTTCGTCGCTCCTAAATGTATATTTTATACTGAAACCGGTAACCGTAGAATTAAGGACATAGATCATACGATACGAGGACAGATGTAGCGCGGTAGGGGGTCGGACACGTTTGTTATTAGTTATGCATTTTACGTTAGTCAGAATTTTTCTCATCGAGCCGTCTCAGAGGGCTGTTCCAAAACGATTCGCCAACGATTTCTGTACGCGCGTCACAAAACACCACCAATCTCCTACATTCAGTTCTATTTCTCTGACCGAAGTGAGCGAGTACTTATACAGAATCCGATTTGAATTCGATAGCATCCGGAGCTCGCGATCGCGACTCGCCTTTTGAATCGTACGAACTACATGTACATTGGTTTTAATCGTTACGACCGAATTTAAACTCGAACTGGTTGGACCGCGTCAAGGATCTATATATACATATACGAGCCGGCTGTCGGGCTAAGGAATCGTCGAGTGATTTCCAACTATTTCATAATGTATCACGAGCGTTCCCGATCGCTGACGGGCGTTCAAATTCTTTTCACGATTCGACGCACCACGAAAGATTCTTCTTAACAATATATTCCCGTTTCGAAATTTAACAAGATCTTGCGCGTGCACCGTTTACTTTACAAATTTCTCAACTAATTACATTTTCATATCGTTCAATTTTTCTATCGTCTCGATTAATCGACGATCCACGATCGATCGATCACGTATTACTTTCATTGTTCTTCGCGTCCGCGACACGCGCCACGCGCCACGCGCCACGCGCCACGATTCAATTAAATATTAATACTATGACGGACGGCAAGCGATTAATATTATCAGACTTCGATACGAACGTCAAAGTCTTTTGTAATTATCCGTAGGAATTACGTTCATCGGCATCTCGAGAATCACGGAGAGCGGAAATAAAAATTTCAATGAAACGAACACGAACCGATCGTTCCCAGTTCGTTCGGTCTCGGCCGACGATCCAAAGTGTTTTTCGGACGTCATCGACGATGACCGATTTCATCGAAACGAATCGAACGTCCATGTTCGGACTTCGTTTTACCCGCACCATCGAAATAAAACCAACCCTGTGACCTGTATATACGTATATATGCATGCCGCTTCGAGAAGTATCATTTTTATCTTAAGCTAAATTTTCATATTCTATTTTGAAATGCACAGCCGATGAATAAATCTAATTTTTAATTACCATTAGCGTTTCTTTAGAATTTTTGTTCAAAATCTATTTCCGTTCGAAACATTTGAAATAGAATATTTTTTCATCAGGAACAGTACGCACACACCCTTTGTATAAAACGTTCTCTCGCACCCGATGGGAACAACTTTATTCGTCTTTAGTTGTACTAAATATCATGGACGACTTGTGAAATCGTTTGACAGAGGATATTAGTATAAAATGATGCACCTAACAAATTATACGCCGATAAATTTGTTCATCCAATTTATAAAATGATCAAGTATGTAAACCTATAGTGGGGCTGACAATGTGACCAGTGCCGTCTTGAGTTCATCATAGAGTTCCTTGTACTCTGAGTGCTCTTTGATAAGCACCATGAGACTACCTCTTTTGACACCCATGGCACTACCGATATCTTGCCTAGAAGGTGTGTAACAATAGGGAATATTCTTGTCCTCGCACACAATTGGCAAATGACACATGATCTCCAAGGGGAACACATCTCCGGCAAATATGACCAGCCTGGAAAAAGAACATTTCCATGAAGATTTCCATGATCTCTTCGATTACAAAGAATGAAAAATAGGTAAACTCATTTTACCCTTCTTCTCCCTTGCGAAGATGCTTCTGTACATCTTTCAAACCATTCCGAAGGTAAGATTTTTGCTTGGCAGCTGAAACAATCACGTCACGGGTTAGGAACTCATGATCATACTCTCTAAATTCTCGGTGCACGGAATCGTTATTTAGCAAAGAGTCTCTCGATCCTAAATAGAATTACCTTTTTTGATGCATTTGTAAATCTTTTTACATAATTTCTTCGAAGCCATGGGTTTGGCTATTTGATTTGTGTACTTCAATTTTTCCTCGTAACTGCTTCCCACGTTATCGCCGCCGTCTCCTTCCTTCATGCTGTCGTCAACTTCCATTTTAACCGGCGATAGATCCATTTTATCCACGAACGACAACTAATTTTACCGAATAACTTTCGTAAATATCGTCCACGTGCCTCAGCGTACAGTTTATAGGTTACCGCGATCCACGTGCGATAGCTTCCATTTATTTACTGCGCGCACACCCACTCACCACACCACCACTGTTCCATTCTTCCACTTCCACTTCCACTGTTACATTGTTGTCAGAAAGTATTCGGTACATAACCTTCGCGCTGAAGTATAGTCAAAAGATAGACCTCAGTAAACTCTTGATTAATACGTTAATTAATCGAATACCGTGAACCCGTTCGTGAACGAATGGAAACGAAGAAATGCTTTATAACTTCTGCGATCCCCGTTTAAGACCAGAAATTCAATGCAGCACCGTTTCCACGGAAGGCTGCGAAGTGACAAATTTGATAAGCGACAGTGACAAAGGATTCTTAGCTTACGCTTGCATTAAGCCTCCTATAAACATCGACGTGAATTTTGTGTGTAACGTCTCCATCGATCATATTCTGATCTGGCCGCGAGTTGGTTCCCAGAAATCGTCAGGCTTCCAATTGTACGCGAAAACGAGTAACGATGTCAGTGTGCCTTACGTCTTACTGTCCACTGGATTTTTGGATTCCTCCAACGATGGATTGTTATTTTACCCGTCGAACGTCGACAGCGAAGCGATCTCTGCTCCGTCGACATTCTTAAAACGTTATATAAAACGTTCTCTCTGTCACTTAACGACATACGCGTGCAGTTTAAGAATATGCATATGCAAGACAGAGAATTCGGTGCCTGCGTTAGCTAAACTTCAAGTATGGGGAGTGGTATCGCCGCGTTGTGGCAAGGATACCGTGGCCAGTATCTCCGCTTTATGGTTCCAACAACGATCTTGCTCGTTGGAATCCGTGGAGGTGGACACACCTAAGGATAACGATACACCTGTTGCCATTGCAGCTGAGTGCGTATCAAAGCTTAGTTCGCAATCGGTGCAACATCTTCCGTTCCGTTTTAAAACTATATTCTGTTTCAGAGAAACTTTGGAATCAAGCCTAGAAGTGCCAGAATGTTTCTTGGACGCTATCACCTACGAGATCATGACCCAACCGATCGTACTGCCGAGTGGGAAGATAATCGATCAAACCACTTTGTTGAAACACGAGGAAACGGAAGCGTTGTGGGGAAGAAGATCGACGGATCCCTTTACGGGTCTGCCCTTTAGCGAAGATCGCAAGCCCGTCATAGCGAGCGGTTTGAAAATAAGAATAGATAAATTTTTGCTCGAGAACAGTAATGTGGAGGAAATAAAAAGACTGCCGAGAGTATTGGGTCGCGTTACATCGTCTTCTCGTGTCAGTGACACGAGAACCACTGAAGTTCCCAAATATCTATTAAGGAGTAACGCGACAAGTAAAACTCCTAAGTTGCATTCTCCTACGGTAAATGTACAAAAAAGGGAAAGTATTTGTCACAAACTGCCAGTCGTCGTGACATCTCGCAAAAGAAATGCTCACGTCGTTACCAAGCCAGCGAAGAGGAAAACGACTGCCGATTCTTGTACGAAAACGCGTAGCGACCAAGCAACCGTGCCGAACTCAACCGGAGACGATGAAACGGATATAAGTACAGCCGCGCTTAACTTGAAACGTTTTAACGCCATTCCAGAAACGAACACGTCAAGCACGGAAGTGATCGATTGTAGCTGCTGTTCCGAAACTATTTTTTATCGGCTTCCGTGCAATCATGTGCTATGCAGGAAGGTTTTGACATCGATTGAAAATAACCAATGTACATCCTGTGGCATGGATTACACGAACAGCCAAGTGGAGCGAATACACGAATAAACGCGTATATAATTATAATTTTTAATAAATATATGAAATTTGTTTACACTTTAATATTGCGAGCTTCGTTTCTCTTTATCGAACTTACAATGCCTAGCGACGTGTACCAAAGTTATGACAGACAGTTTCCGCCCCCTGCCAATTTTCTCTGTTGTGGAATATGCGTCGACGCGAATCAAAATGCATCATGATTTCACTACGACAGGTATCTCGCGTGTTGTTCGAACAAAGTGTCCACATAATTTGCCATTGTACAAAGTCTCATGTAAAAATTGAGAAGACAATCTTTAAGTAAAAACGCCTGTATCGTCAGCGTTCTCGTTCCGCGGAATTCCGTGAAATACTCAGTTCGATCAAATCGAATTACTCGGTATAGGGTCAAGGATACACACCTCCCGCTTTTGAATACTGAAAGATAGAGCAATACTCCACGACTTTCTTCTATTCGTTATAACACTTTAAATCCGCTACCCTGACTTTGCCTCTTGGCGACGTTGAACAATGATAACAGATAATTGCGGGAATCTGGAGATACGTAGAATGTGAGCGTGCGATCGTAATTTGGCGTAGAGCTCTCAAAAATATCAGATTGTACGTCGCTGTTGGTGGATACACTGGCCAGGCCGGTGCTGCTGGTTCGCACGTACTCGGCCACCCGCGCCCGCATTTCTCGGTCCATCTGTCGACAGAAATCGCATCTCGATCGTGTACCCGTATCGTAAAATGACGCGATCGCGGTATGCGTGTAAAACGCGTATCGTACCTCGTACGGAGCCGGAGATACAGATCTGTTATTGGTCTGCGACGTCTCGGGAGAACAGTACAAACAGATGGTCGATTCCAAATGATGCTCGGCGCTCGTCAAGTCTTTCAATAAAAATATCCTCTCCACGTTGTCTTCCGTCGTATTTACCAATAACAGCGCGTACCGCGTCAAAACCAAAGTCACGGCGCGACTACTACCCTGCTGGATCACGTAATCCGCGTTGGTCACGTGTAAAATATTCCCATGATCGTTCTCGAGAAACGGTAACAGCCACCACGCGTATCTGATGGTCGCGTTGTCGTTACCGGACGTGTATTGTACCACTGGTCGTTGTCGAGGCTGGAAGAACTCGTGGTTAACGATCTGCATCGATCGTACTTCGTTCCGTTCGAGATTCATTTACCGAAGGGAGAGAATTCCAGCCGGCTCCCTGGAGCAGTCCCTGTCCGGTCAGTGCGACTAGTTCCGCGGCTCCGCTCAAAGGTTTGGTGACCACCCCGACGAGACCGAGACCGACGCCGGTCACGAGACTCTTAGTCGACATCTCACCCGACCAAACTTGCTGCAAGGGATGATGCGCCAAGCCCGCGACCGCGGCTATGAAACGGATCAACGATGAAATCGCGCGATATCGAGCAACGATCAAGAGAAACGTGTCGTATACGTATGCACCTACCGAGAAGGCTCATCCCCAGGCCGGTCAAGCCTTGGTACAGTCCTTGTGCCATCCCTTGAGGTCGCATTCTCCGAGACTCCTCTTGTCGTTGAAGATGTTCCTCGTCCAGGGTCAAACGATCCAAGTTCCTAGCTACACTGGACGCCAACTTTGTCACGGAATTCAGTGTGCCTACGGGCATGAAGTTTCCGATCGGAAGATTTTTAAGACCGTCGGCGCGCGTCGGAACGCATTGAATACGCGTATGCCACTACCTGCTGTAACGTGTCTCATTAAACTGGCCGACCCGTGCGTTATACCCACGATGAAACCCCATGGACCTTGCAACAGACCTTGGAACGGAAGAGAAATGAAATCCCGAAGACCCGAACCAAGAGCTTGCGCCAAACTCCCGGGCGACCCCAGTATCTCCAACGATCCTACCACCCATCCTACAATCAATTTCCCGATATGAAATGTACAGCTTCGATTCAATTCGGTTCTCCTATTTTGTAATCCGTACCTGCTCCGAATATAGCGCCGGACAGGTAATGCATGGTGAGAGCATTGCCGAGTCTATACGGAGTAGTCAAGATGTTCTTCTTCTCGAAAGTGCCGAAATACAAAGGGGAATGATCCAAAGCGACGTACAAACGTACGGAGGTATGCACGCTCAACAAAATCGACAGAGGCTCTATCCTCAAATTTTGTAGCCTCAACGGGGCGCTCAATATTTTCGCATCGATCATTATATGATCAGGGACGTAGACACCCATGGTCGAGACCAATGTCCTCGTTTTCTTCGCGTCGTCCAACATCAAGAATCGGGGTGGCACCATCGACGACGCGTAATTCAACAATTGAGTGATATACGTGTCCTCGATGTAAGAGCTGACCGGCGCGATCTTTATACGAAGATCTTTCGACGCTGAAAAAGTAATTAACGCGTGTAAAACGAAACTGAACGATACTTACCAAATCTGGAAATTTTTCGAGTACCTGTCAGTCGCCCCTGATTCTCCAAAGTGTAATCGATCGCTATCAACGAGTTCTCTTTGATCCGTTCTATCCTACTGTTCAGACAACTGTTCGTATGAAACACTGTCTCCTTTGCCGTCAACGGACTTTGGCTGATCAGTACCACCGGAAAGTCGAATCCCCCCTGATCGAACAGCTGATTATCTAGTTGCAGATCGCCTACGAAGGCGCGCATATGCACAATCCTGGACCTGGCGTTCACGGCGACTATTAGGTCAGTCATGGACAAACTGGCCACCTCGATTCTCTGCGCGTTCTCGTTCATGTCATGCATAATATTGATGGTAATCCCGCGGAGGCAGACGGTGACGGAGCCTTCTCTGGGACTGTTCTCTTCGACGTCTTTCGCCTCGTCGTTCCCACCGATTTTCACGTTCTCCATGTCCGGTATTAATCGTCTGAGGTTTATCTGCGACGGAGTTCTCGCTTCCGGGTCTATTTCTGGGGTGTCTTCTTGAGCCGAGAAGAAAGTGGTCACCGAGGTCGAGCTCTCGGAACTCTGCACGTTGATCGTTCTCGCGTCGTCATCCGGGTCGTACTTCTCGCGCAACATTTCGACCTCTCTCGCTTCGTACTCCTTCCGCATCAGCCGACTCCTTATATCCCTCGCGGAAACCTCCACTTGCGATATCGGGACGATGCCGATGTACGTGGTGTAACAACGATTCTGCATGATCAGTTTAACGTCTCCGTAGGATGGTAGCCGAACGTACTGATCTATCGGCACGCTGGATATCGCCGATAGGTTTACACCCCTCGACCACCGCAGCTCCTTGCTTCTCGTCAGTTGCTCGTTGTGACCGTTGGTCACCGCGGCGAACAGCAATACGTTCGGGACATTAGTTACCGGTGCATCCGGTAGCCTGTTGCCGACGGAAGGAGTGGAATAATGACAAGTCGCGTTGCTCTCCACTTCGCAGGTCCACGCGAAGTGAGCGGTGTCCGGTACTATTCCACTCGCGGTTTCGTTCGCCTGACCCAACAGAATCTTGAATACGCAAGTGTTCTCGATCAAAAATTGAGGATGATCATCCGCGTGAATCATTATGAACGTCGTACCCCTGTCCTCTTGGATCGTAATGACTACGGGCATGGTACCGGAACCGTTCGGAACGGCAACGCATTTGCGACCGAGACCCTGATCCACTCGGACCGGGCAAGACCACTTGTGCCCCAGACTCAGAGACACGTAGAGAACGAGAGGCTCGACGACGTCCTCCGTGTACAGAGTGTACCACTGACTGATCGGTATGCCCTGTTTCTGATCGTCGGACGGCGAGATGTTAAGGCTGTACGGGGTCAGGTCGTTGGGCAGTTCGAGCCTGGTCGCGTCTTCGTGGACCGCCAGAGAGGCTACGCATAATTCTTGAGACGTCAAATTGCTGATAACGTGGCTGCTCGTCACGCGTACGAGACGCATATCCTCATGCATGCTGGAGTTTATGCTCATGATCGATATACTCGACCCGCAGTCGACGCAGGACTTGACGTTCCCTTCGACGGGAATCAGTCCACCGATTCTCGGCATGTAGAAACTCTGGCTCCAGTCGGGTCGAGCCAGTTGCAATGCCTGTGAGGTGTAGAACGTATCGCCGATTCCAACGCACAAGTGGAAGGTGCCTTCGAGCTTCGGTGGCGTCACGATCCCGTAATGGGGTATCTGACAGAGCTCGATGTCTTCCGAGACGAGGGACAAATGGCAACCCATGGAATTCAACATGAAGCACCAAGGTTGCAGTTCCAGCAACAGAGTGCTCGAGATCAATCCGGCGTCCTGGTACTTCACTTGGACGTGTGTCTGCGGTTGCTCCGCGGATATCCATTCTTCTACTTCGTCGTCTTGGAACGGCCATTCCGCTTCGTCCCTCTGATTCTCGAGATCCCGCAGGATCGCGTCTATGTCCTCGAGCTCCGGTCTTCGGAAGAACTTCCGCTGATCCACGGAGCTGTACGACAATGGGACATAAGGATTCGACGTGGAGACTCCGGATTCCAATTGGAACGTCAACTGATGGAAGTGTTCGAAGGTTCCGGGACAGTAGAGTTGCTGCCTCTCGCCCCGACCGTTCACCATCGTGCTCAACGATATTTTCAACGAAGGCGTGTCCATCTGCACTCTGGCCGGCACCGGTAAATGCGAGCGGATCATATAGAGCGGGCTGAGCACGGCCAGCACCTTCATCTTTTCCTGGATCGTCTGCGTCACTATTCGTACCCAAATGCTCAGAAATTGGCCACGCTCTTGGAGCGGCACCTTGACGAGCCATGGCTGTCCCCATTTCGCATTGGGTCGAAGGGGAATGTCTCCTGTCCAGGACAGATTCGGCAGATTCGTGAACCGTAAGCGTATCGCCATCTTCTTGGTCCCATCGAGTATGACGGAGGGCGGTCGACCCTTACCAGCGACCTGATACACGTCCTTCAGCACGGTCACCTTCGACCCGATGTCGGAATCGTATTTGACCAATTTCATCTCGAAATTATCGATCAACTGATTCGAGACGACGAGCTGCCCAGAGAAGGTCACGAGCTTCTGAGTGGCCGAGAGCGACGTGACGCTCACGAACGCGGACGCTTTCGTCGCGGAATTGTAAAACTCGACCGCTTGAATCCCGTCGATGCCGACGGGGAACGGTTTGCTCCAGAGCCAAACGTTTTCCTCGATCGCGACGCGTAACATCTTGTTCCCGACGTTTCGCCATGAATAGAAGCTGCATTGCCTGCTCTCCAACAGTACGTTGTCTCCCGTTCCGCTTTGACCGAAAAGGACTGAGACGTTGCTGTCGTTGGCAACGACGTACCGCGTGAACAGGATCGGGCTCCGAGTCTCCTCCTCCATAGAGGCGCACCATAAGTGCAAGGAGACGGCGAGAGTGTGAGCCACGGTTGGGCTCAACTTCAACGAGAACGGACTGCATGTCAACGTGACATCCGTCTTGTCTGACAAGGAGAGTTGGAATCTCGCTTCGAGGGGATCCAGCACCTCTTGCATTGTCAAATGACCGTAATCGAGCACGTGCACCCCGAACGTGCCGCCGACATCGATCAGCGTAGAGCCGTCTATCCATCTATTCAGCACGAGGACGGCTCCCTTGTGCTCCAGCGTCACGAAGCTTTGAGTCTCCGGTATCGTGCCTCTCAGAGTGTAATTTTTCAACGGAGGCTGCAAATTGTCGTACATGGACGCGCTTACGTGGTTGTACATGGACACGTGAATCGCATCGATGTTCAGGGCGGCTTGTACGTTCGGTATGATCGAGGAGTTGAAATACGAATCTATGCGTAGGCAGGCGGCGAGAACGCGAGCCGAGATGATGGTCTTCGATAGGGGACGGTTGTTGTTCGACAGAAGAACTACGCGCCATATGCAAGCTACCGCTCTCGAAGGAGCCTTCTCGGGAAGTTCCAGACGATAAGAATCGGTTTCCGATAGATAAAAATCGGCGTATCGCTGATAACACATGTGACAGTCGCTCCAATACTCAAGTGCGCAGAGCACCTTGTCTGTATATCCGTTGTCTGAGTCCAGCGTTTCGAACGGAACCGGAGAGACATGTATCTTCGTCAACGTCCTCGGTTGCGGATACCTCCAAGCCATCGATTGTTGAGGATAGGTGAAGAAGATTACCTGATACGGAAACGGCAGTTCTTCCGCGTTTCCATTCACGAATTGGAACGCGCCTGCCTTCAAATCGTCCTTGTAATGCTGCTCGGTGGACAACACGAGTTGCTTCTCGTCATTTTTGGACTTTGCGGGACGAGCGGTCAACTCGTTCAATAGCAATTGGCAATCTTCCATCACGTTCCGAATTATTTTTATTTGTTCCGGACCGAAATCTATGTAGAGACTGTCGCTGTCCGCTTGTATTTGTATCTGCGGGACGGAATCGATGTTCAACCAACTCTCCCAGAGCAAGCACACGGTCACGTTGCAACACCACGGATTCAACAGGACCTTTACGTTTCCGTTGAGGGTCGCCGATACGATGAACGAATCTATCGAGGTGTTCGAGTATATTCTGTCGGGTCTCGAGAGGGACGAAATATTTCCAGACAGCGAAGCGAAGCTGATCAATATCTCCGCGCCGGAATCGGTCTTGAGAGAAAGCACGATCTGCTTCGTACACATGTTTAAATCGGGCCAGTACGCTTTTTTAGTTATCACCGACGGAGGTGGAGTTTTGGCATCGTCGGGCCGATCGGACGATACCGCTGCCGCTTCTCGTTGTTCCGCGAAGCATGACGATATCTTCTCTTTTATAATCCGTACCTGATGCAACCGTGACAGAGAGAAATAAATTTTCGTCGGTCTGCCCATGTCGACGAAGAACTGAGAATTCTTCCCTAGAGCTTTCTCACACTTGATCGTTACGAAAGACGGAGGAATGCCCGTGTCCGGATGCAAATCGCCGTTCTTCGTTTCGATCATGAACACTTTAAAGTCTTTCGACGTTGGTATCGAGATCGAGTCCTGGCCATCTCCGCCTCCGAGTGCCATCGTCACATCGAAACACGACACTTGCAACTTCTGCGAAGGGTGCTGCTGCGAGAAATAAATGTTCGGCTGATTAATCATTACGTAGAACAGCGGCTGTTTCCGACTCTCCGTCTCATCCTCTTCGATTTCGTTTATGTCGACCTCGTACTCCCCCGTGGACGCTTGACGAACGTCGTACAGGACGAACGTTATCTTTCCGCAGTTGACTAGGAATTCGAACGGCGAAAGAATCGCGGTATCCGGGGACGCCGTTTTACCGATGACCGTGGAGTTCACGCTAGACGTTTCGAAGTCTATACCGCTGTCCTTCGTGAAATCGACGTCTATGTCGTCGCTCGGTTGCTTTGTCCACGTGATCTGCTTCATAGCTGCTACGGTTGAAGGCGGTTTCGGCGATGCGTCGACGGTGACCGCGTTTGTTCCTCGTTCGAAGCACTCGGACAGCAAGTGTTTCAATTCGTTGTTCAAGATCGAGATCAACTGTATCTGCTCGAGGTTTATCGTCACCTCGATGTCCGTGATGCAGTTCACTTCGATCGCACTTCCGCACACCGTGACGTCCGGTTTGAACAGAACGGGAGGCGCGATGATCAGACACAAGTCGAACTTCGACAGAAGTGGAAGCGTAGAGAATTGCTGCTCCAGGCTGCTTCCGTGTCCGAGCTTGTTCCATTCCAGCGCTGGATTCTCGTTCATCGTGTAAAGATAAGATTGCGACATCTTCTTGTTTATGCTCACGTGATAGTTCTTCCAAGTGGTCGTGTGAGCGCATATGCTCTTTACGTTGATCTGATATTGTCGGTCTTCCACCGCGGAGCCGGGTATGCTCAAGATGTTAGCTTGAGCCGCGAGCTGATATATGTCCAATCTCAGAGGCGTACGGCAAACCGGATTCTCCGCGTGCGGTGCGATACGAATTCCGTCCAGCTGAACGATCAATAGATCATGCTGTGGTTTGGACTTTGTCACGTTGGACGCAGGTAACATCAGCCTGAGCCCCTTGAAATCGAGGTATATCAGTGGCAACGATTCGTTGTCCAAATTCGCGATACTGCTCAACCGTCGCGTCACGTTTTGCTCGGGGATCTCGATCGGATCTTTCTCGGCGGATCGACAGAAACATATCAGGGGTTTTAACAGTTGTATATACCTACTGGCTATAGTGAGCGGCAGAATGACGTCGACCATTTGAATTTTGATCACCACTTCGGAGATATAACCGTTAGTGGTCACGGTCGTTTCCGTCGTTACGTCCTTCTGAAAGTGTAACGAGAAATGAATGCGTCGATCAGGCGTTATTCTTTTTAATCGTTCGGAAATGGTAACGCACCTTCGGGTTCTTGTGCCGTTTGTAAGTACCCCAACGCGTGTGAACGTTCCCCGATTTCGCTCGAGTCAAAGTAAAACTCAAGAAGCCGGAGTCGTCACCTTTCTCTAAATTATCCTCCCTTCCGCACAATACCGCGCCTACGTATTCACCGATGTCCCACGTCGGCGAATTCGGCGCTCTGTTCGTAAAAACAATCATTATCAATCTCGTTTCGCTGGACCGGGCCCATGATCACCCACACTATCGACTTCCTACCTCGTATAGTGATATATGGTGACTGTTGTAATCTTATTTTTTAATTTAAAATAAACTGGCTGCAAGTCAATGGAGGTGATAATATCCTCCAGCTCTAGGACCAGTTTCAGCGAGGGTGCGGTCTCTTTCTCCGTTACGTACAACTTGATCGCGATTTTAGTTATCGTCCACTGAATCCACGCCGTCAGGACTAGTTGGTCGGAGTCTACGAAGAACGCGTACCACCGTGTAAAAAAGATGTACGAAATACGTTTCGACAGTAGTAGATACCTGATGCGACATCCTCTCTCGAGGTCGAGACGGTCGAATTCGTAGTCGTGTCCTCAGGGTACAGTAATTGCGTCGGTGTAGACGGAGTTTGCGGTATAATGGGAACGACTATGTGTGCCTCGGTATTCATTTGACCGCCGACCATAACGCTCTTGTCACTGCTGGTCGTGACTCGCATCGCATTCGATATGCTAGAAATTATTTTGCTCACGAACACTACCTATAATTTTTCGAGATCAGTTGCGCGTGACACACTATTACGTATGGAAAGACGTGGAACGGCTCTGTACTCTGATACCTGTTCTTCTGATATGGATACGATGATCGGAGTGTTGTCGATATGAACGCAAATGCCGAGAGCAGATAGAGCACTTGCCCCGGACGGAGACGTTACGAGTTTGGTTGTGAGCGCGACCGTAGCGTTCAACGAGACTTTTTTAATGAAGTTCTTCTGCGTCTGTTGTTGCAACATGTAACAATGAAAGTCTACGAGACTCAACGTCCACGGGAAGCTCTGTACTTCTGTAACAGATTTCTACGATGAAGATGATCGGTCGGTCGACGTGTCTCTCTCTTCACTTACTGTTTGTCCACATCGATCTCGGTAATTGAACCGGCAATTCCTGCAGGTGAGGCGCGAGTAACTCGAAGTTCACGTTGGACGAGTGAACGAGGAGGGACGGCAATTTGACGATCAACATTTGCAACGTGTCATCGCCTCTTAGCGCTTTGTCTTTGGCTTCTTCTATACCTGACATAATTCGAAAAAGAACGACGTTACGAGGGATCCGAGACGGACGGTATCGAAACGAGTACGATCTATGTCTGCCTACCATACGAACCGATACCGCTCATCGTAATCGACGGTATATAAATGACAATATGCCCAACAGATCCACTTAAGACAAGACCGCACCACCATGGATACAGATCTGCTAATCTGGCCAATATTCCCAAATGCTGTAAGCTCTACCACAGATTAATTCAATGTAACTAGTAAACCGATCACAGAAACGACGACCTCGTCGAATTCTGATAAAAACTAAGCGTCGTCGTCGAATCCAATTAAGCGATTTACGTACTTGTCCTTCGGTCTCCGATTTCGAATCGTGTTTCTTCCGAGTTCCGTCGTTCTGAGCGGTTTTCGATTTTTCCGTGGCCACGATCGACTTCCGTTTCTCCTTGTCCGAGGAACTGTGCACGCTTTCGTGCAAACTGGGAAACGTTTTCTTCTTCGTACCGGCATCGGAAGACGCGCCTTCGAAATGCTGCTGCATCTCGGGTCGCGTCGTGCACAAAGTGCCCAGACTGTAATACGTGACCCGGTACTCGAGCCACTTGAAGAGCAACGGGTCGAGCGAAGCTCTGATGTCCGCCACTTGGAGCGAGATCAAAGGTGGATGAGTCTGTTTGTCGACGTTCCGCGGGAACTGTATCACAGCCTTCAGCAACGACTTGTTCTCTATATCGCTAAATAACACCAGTAAACGTCGTTGCGTAACATTCATCGAACGTCGCTGCCAAGGTAATTTCTAATCGGTCGATATACCAACCCATGAACGTTGGTCTCCGGCCCCGAGAATATAAACGCTTGTTGCGTTTCGTCGAGGGCGAACATCTTTACTGAATTTATGTTCAGCTCGTTGGAAACCGTCACTGAGGAATTTAACTTCCTACAATTCACGTTCTCCAATAGCAACTCCAAGTACACGGGATCTGAAGTGTCGATGACGCGACGCGAATTAGATACGTCGTTGATCGACCGACGATTCAAATAGTAACGCGAGGCCTACCTGTTTCTTGACAGGCGTCGTTGAACAAAGAGGAGCACACGAGGGGGTTGCTCGTGTCCTTCGAATCGAGAATCGACGTCAGAATAGACACTCCGACCATTAACTTCGCTTTGGTTCCGGTGAGCGTGACGCTGTCAACGTGCAGCGCGTACATTTCAAGGATCAAATCGACATCTCGCCAATACTGCGGGTACAATAATTTCTTTATCTTGCATTCGATCATGCAAGGCATTATCATCGACGTGTGACAACTGTTCGTCAAGTACAATTGACTTCTCGCTCCGTTCACCTACAATCATATACCATTTCGTTTCAGCATGCGTCCCACCCTAATTTCTCATTTTTCAATTACCTGTAACGTCATGATCTTATGACACTGATCGAACATGTCGTACGGGAGATCGGTCTGTTTGGACGCGCAAGCCACGAGCCTGAACGGGTACAAGGGTTGCAATACGGTTAACGTTACATCGTCGCATTCGATGCTCGCGAAGGGGTCGTCCGTGAGCGCGGGCGTCAAAGGCGTCGTCTGAACAGCATTAAGCCAACGTGAACATGAAAGTAATTGATACATTACACATCGTTACGTACTCTGCTCTCGACGATCTTTCGTTGACGAGGTAATCCGGTGATCGTGTGATCCGCTAATTGTAACTGGATGGACGCTTTCACTACTATCAATTTTGTCTCGACCATGGACACGTTCTCCCGCAGAGCCTCGTACTCCTCTAATGTGACCGGCGGAAGCTCGTCGACGAGTGGATCTAATGAGTAACGACCCATGTACATGTAAATCTGTTCGCGCAATGTGAACGTAACGACGAACGCACCTGGTTTCGTAACGAGATATGGACTGTAATCATAATTTGCGGCGGCTTGCTTTATCGTCTCGAGACGATGGAAGACACCCGAGCACATTCTGATCGTCAAGTCACCGACGACGTATCTCATCACTCGATGTTCCCGGAAATTACTAAAGAGAGAATTACTCTACTTCCCTTTCTAATCATCCGCTGATTCGATTGAGTTACCTGTATTCAAAATTAGATCCGAACTCCGCTAATTTCTCAGGCGTTATATCGTCCGGGAGTTCGACGCAGTGAACATAATCCATGACGAACGCGGGATACCGCTCCCTCAGCCGATCCTCTGAATTTAAATGACTCATAAGAATTGACACGACGACTACGAAAGAATATCGTTACCTGATACTGTACACAGATAGTAATATATCCCTTGCTTGTACTCTCTCTTTTTTCCCTTGTTCTCCACCGACTCGTCGTCGAACAGCGAGTCTTTTAAATAATCGGCGTTCAGTTTACCAGCGACCAAATACAAAGGCGGCTAAACGACAGTCGTACGTTAAACGTCAGAAGTTTAATTTTCGATATACGTACGAGTAATACGAAAGTGCAGCGGGTGATATTACTTGAGCCCCGTCGACCACTTCGAGGTGTCCGCAACTACAGGTCCCCCTTGGATACACGCGTATGCAACCCATCCCGATTTGGAAGCTGGTCATCGCGATCCCTTGTAACAACGTCTCGAACACGACGCCGTTCAATCGCAGCGTTAAGAAAGACTTGTATCGGAGCTTTCGCGATTTGTAAAACAGTTGCTCCTTGATATTTTCCACTGTCTATATACAGAAGCAACAAATAAGATTCCGAACAGATTCCAGATCTGATGCACGCGTACCTTAAAAGTTAAAGTGGCGTCTTGCACGTACACGCCTAAATGTATCGTATGTCCGGAATAAGCCATTTGTTGCTCGCTGGACCAGTCGTTGTCCCAGTCAATAGGTAGTAAAGACGATACCATGTTCCAAGCCCATCCTCCCCATCCCGTGTTCTCGGCACCGGTCCCACCGATGTGATCCGTATCATCTTGAGTACCGTCTTCCCTCTCTTCGGCGGAGATCAAGGATCTCTCTTTACTGGACGGGAACTGTTTCGTTTGCAGGGCCATTATCAATGCGGCCAGTCTGAGCAACATGGGCACCTGCTGTTCCGTTATGCTGAATTCCATTTTTTGACAATGTAGATCTAATCGCGTAATAGAAGCTCTCCTCGCAGTGTTACTGTGATAGTTTATGATCAAGCGTATGACGACCGAACATCGGTATAGAACGGGATCCTGATATATCTCTATCTTCCCAGACGCGTCCATTTTATCTAAACACAGCGTCAGATCTTGAATGGTAATTACTTTCCTGAGCATGACCTCGTACAATATAACATCGGTGAACGCTGGCTCCCATTTATTATCGACGGTTTGCATACTCAAAAATCTGACGTTGACACTGAGAACGATGTCCTCTTCCACGTATTTTAGAATTAAATTATTACAATTAATCGTTATGTTATTTACAACTTTCGTCACTATGCTTTTTATGTATCCAGGAGGCGCTTCTTCCTGTGATATCTCCTGCCTCTTCTGCGAGGTCGAGGGATTGCTTTCCATGTTATTATCATCTTTCAATTTTAAAATGCACTCTAAAACATCGACGACGATTCAATACAGGGGACATGTTTCATCGGACGAAAGGAGATGACCGTATAGTTTGCTTTTACCTATTGTATTAATAGTAATTACGATCGGCTCCGAGTTGATCTTTACCCAAGGAACATGAATGAGCAGTTCATGTATGTGACCACTGACAAAGACGAACGGAAGGTTCAATTGTTCCTCCAATACCTCTAGCCGCAAGTCGAGATTTTGAAACGACGCATCACCACCCCATAAAGAAACCTGAAATCCAATATAGCACCGTAAACATCCTCGTCATTACCCGCTGGTAATCATCTCGCATATGATCCCGATCTACCTGAGATTGTTCCGGCTTAAAATTCTTTACATATTTCTCGACATAACTAAGAATCACTGGAGTAATGTATGACTCCAATTTGAACATCGTGGAGGACCGTTCAACGCATTCCACATACTCCCCGAGGTTTGACAAATTCGTATGAGCTTAAAGTGTGTCAACAATTTATTTTCCAGTCTGTCGGTACATCGACAGAAGCAGCGACGAACATGACAGGAAAAAGTTGGCGTTGAACCATTTGGTGCGTACGGTATTTAATTAAAAATTCGAGAGCACGAGTCCGTCGTCTGGAAGCAGTAGAGATTATTTTTGAGTAACGCGTTCGGACGATCTCGAAACGGTCAGGGAGTGGACGGACGAAATTAACGTGGAAAAGCATGGGACACAAACGAAAATGATATGCGCGTGCAAACTGACGAGTAAAAATGAAAATTGTCAAGAGGAGGACGAAGCATCGCTGTTGCGAGGTTGCAGAAGAGTAGAAAGTAGGGTAAACAGAATCGATAGGCGGTTTGAAAAATGTATTTTTATTGTTTCTTGGTTGCGAGCGACGACAACAGAAATATGAATGAGTCGTAATAGACTCCGATTCGACGTTCGTAAAGAGTCATATTAACCTCGTCGTCGTGTATTCGGCGGTCGATTACGCATCGGTTTCAGGTAGAAGAATACACGCTGAGAACACGTATCCTCGCATGTTCGTTCCGGCGAAACGTTGAATTGAACAATTTCCAATTGGCCAGTCTTTAATCGTAATTTTCCGACTTTCAGATACGATCTTATCTCTGCTCACTCCGCTTCCTGCCACTAAATAACCTTTACGACGATCCGACGACGAGGAGCACCCACGCAAGCAGCTGCTGCATGTGCACGACGACAGGAATCCGCATGCGCGACACTTTGGAGGTGCATATTTTAAAATTTGAATCGAATCAAGAACGAAAACGCGCGTGTATCCTGACAATTCACTATGGATTGCATTGCTTGCATTGAAAATTTATGTACAGGCGTGACAAGGACGAATAAAATGGAAGTAGAAACGAATGAACTTTGTTCGTATCCTACCTCGATATCGCTTGAACTCGGTCCCCGGGGTTCGCAAAAATCGTTTCTCCTTTGTCCTTCAAATTTTCCAGCAGCTCGACGACGTTCAATTCGTATCGCACGCGATTCAGCTTTTCCATCATTCTTTCGAACGAATAATGGCACACGTACTTACGTATTTTGCGAATCGCGACTATACGAAACCCGCGATCGATCGTCGCATCGCTGAATTATTGAAGAGGAGAGTCGGTTTAGAGGGATTGCCTACGGAAACACTGAAAGAGCGACTCGTACGTAAACCGCCCACGCTTCTAGATCGTCTCGAGATTCCTTCCGCGTGTACTGTCCGTGATCATAATTTCCATCGCGGCGTGTGCAGGCGAAATTTAAAGAAAATCGAAACATCAGACAAGGATTACTCAGACCGACGCACAGACAAGTCTTGGAAGTCGTCGCTTTTATATTGAACGTGAATCCCGACCTCCTGGAAGAAGGAGTCATTGACAAAAACGAATACATCAATGTGTTCGACAATTTCTTTATGAAAGATGGGAAGCGCGCGATAATCATACACTATCAATCGATGGAACCACCCCCGTTCGGTAAACTTCCTTTCCTACTCTTCGTTCTTCCTACTCATTATTCATCTTGTTCGTTGATCGTGGAACGTCTCCAAGACAGAATCGGGAAGATGGAGTCCACAGTACGAACGCGAGACTCAAATGATAAGGTGTTGCGTGACCGATGGGTTGACCGAGCAACTCTCTGGCAAATGCGTCATAGTCTACAGACTAAAGTCGGACATAGACTTCGAATCGAAGCACCTCCTCGAAGTAGGTTCACCGTACGATTGGAGAACGTCTAACTTTCTAATTTCGTGATTAACTCGCGATCCTCAAACAGGAAACGTTTTACGCCTACGCGGAAGTCGACGCCGCGTCGCAAGCACTGGCAGCGATATCGGAATTGATTCTGAGACTGAACTTACCAGCGATAGTCGCCAACACGGTATGGGGTGAACTGTCAAAGACCGAGGCCGGCGAGAAAGTGAAGAATAATTTTATTTGCGATTTTCGAGACTTTTGCGAATTCCTAAGCAGTAAGATATCGTCATTGTTTCGACCGAGTCGATTTAAGGATGTATTGGCTATAC